TGAATTCGAATCGAACTCTCAACGTTTAGAGGTTTCATCCACATGGCTACTGCTGAAATGATTTAGAAAACAACCCTTTTTTCCTTTTATTGTTATTTTGACAATAAATTGAAGAAATCCGATGAACTCATAGTATGCAAGCTCATAGTAGATATATTTCAATATTAAATTTCGTCAGTCTTATGTAAAAATATCCTTTTTAGATATTAAAGTACTTAAAGGTATTTCTTGTGACTAGCTTAAAACTAAACTATTTAATATCTGTGATACTGCAGCAAAGTGAATAGAACAGACGGGTTGTATCTTACTGCAATAGTTTCCCAGACCTATTATGCTTTTTTAAATTATGGAATGTGTAGTCCTTGCGTGCTTTGCCTTAATCGATTTAACATTAGTAAATTTCGAGAAAAGAAAAGAAGTCAATCGTAGGCAGAAATAAACGAAACGTTATCGCAATAATAAAGTGCCGAAGACGTGAAGAAACAATAAACTTGAAGTAAGGATTTGAGGGATTTGAAAAGAAGGAATAAAAAACCATTTATTTTGAAAGTTTTTATAGTTTATAGAAAAAAAAGAGAAGTAATATATTTTACAATACTAATGATGAAGGAAATAAAATTAGCATAGTTTAAAAACTATAAAAAATTTTAAAAATTAGTTAAAGAAACCATTTTCGTGTTGGTATAACTTGCAAAATTAATATCTCTTAAAGTTCTTAGGTAATAATGCTCACTTTGTCTCTTGTGAACTTCTCTGGCAAATTGGTTTTTGGTCATATCACTGGCTGTGATCAGCAAAAATAATTGAATCGCCAGTTTGGAAAAGCTGAACAAGCATAAAAAAAATTGAAAAATGGCTTTTCTCTATTATACGTATCTTCTGGCTTCAGTACGCATGTCAGCTGAAAGAGAGAACGAAAAATCCATTTCCTGTAGAGTTTAAACAGTTTAAAGAACACTAAGTTCATTCGAAGGGTGAAATTAAAGATGTTTCCGTCTTTCTTCGGAAAAAAAAAAAGCAATTTTCGATTTATTCCTTTCTTCTGGAGACGGGAGATTCAATTAAACTTGTACTGTTTTTTTCTTCTAGGGATTGCTCAGAGGAGTCACTGTTTAAATTTGTTGTCTCACAGAGCAAAATTAAGATTTAAGACAAACCTCTGAGAAAGAATCTCAGTATTGAATAATTAATGAAAATAAATGCTTTTAATAGCCATGTATTAATAAGTTTGTGATTAGTATACAACACCTAACAAAAGTTGAAATTAAAATCAATGAACGTTATGGGTTTTAGTAATTAATAATTTGTTCAGAAAATTAATATTAATAATTTTTCTAGGAAAAGCTGAAAAGTTAATTAATTTCTAAAGTTATCATGCCTGCTGCCCAATTAAGGAGCAAGATTGCTTCGAATGACACTTTCATAATGATGCCCCGTATAAAAGCGGCAGTATCTTTATGCAAACCGGCCACTGTTCGAAAAGACAGAAATCTCCATAAAAGAGCCGACCCCTTTATGCAGATCAGATGATTGTTCGGAAAAACAAAAACCTGAACACCCTTATAAATATTATTTACAGCCTGAAAGACTAAGAGTCAGGACTGCCTTCCTGGAGGACGTTTTAAGCGAAACTGGCTAGTTATTCATATTAGACATGGGGAAAACTCGAAAACTCCAGTTTGCTAGGATTATAACTCGGGTCGAACTACCAGTGTTCATTGCTTTTAATTGCTGGCCTACTTGTTAGCTTCTAAATGGTATTTTCTCCCTCCTTTCTGCGTGGCACGTCGGATGCGTCATTGGGAGGTCCGGAGTACGAGTCCTGGCGAGGGCACTGCCGATTTCTTCAGTCTCTGGACATCGGAAAAGTCTAAAAAAGGGTTTTACAAGTGACGCCTGAACTAAAAATTGGTGGACGATGATTCGTTACATCCAAGATTTGGCGATTGGGTTTCCTCAATCCCCGTCACCTTTTAAAAGCGGGAGTATATAAGGTATTTTCTTCCTCCTTTTCGTGCGACTTCGCGGTGTAACTGGAAGCACGCCCGACGCGTGATCAAGAGGTCTGGAGTTCGAATTCTGAAAAGGGCACTGCACACTTTTCATGTTCCTGCATCGATATAACTTAATGATTCTACAAACCTTAGTAAAGATGATGCTGGGGTACTGATCATAGTAACAAATTAAAATGCTACTTGCATTAGGATGATATGGCAAGAAGGTGTCCGCACCGTTATAAAGGTTACTTTTTACAAGTTAGAAACTGAACTTCATGAAGATAAGGACAACTTCATGGAAAGGTACCCTTACGAAAGTTTCCGTTTTTTCGAACAGAGGGCAACTTGCGAAGAGATCCCGGCACACCGTTATGAAGTTCTCCGGTACTTCAATAATTCAGCATTTACGTATGTTTCCTTTCTTTATTTATTATTAAAGGAAGTGATTTAAGACTTTTATAATCTTTTAAGGAATGGCTAGTGAGTACGAACATTTTCTCATGCACGCAGTGAAAAGGATTTACTTGGATTATGGGAAAGCATACGAGGGCTATTTGCGTAAGGGAAAGGGTGCCTTTGTGGAGACTTTTGAAAGGAACTTGGTCGTATTCACGTGAGATGTGATAAAAACCATGAAAGCTCCCATGTAGCTGGTCCATTTGCATTAGTCGAATTACCAGTGTTTAGCTGTCATTTTGCTTTGCTGCTAGGCTCAGTGATAAGGATTCTTAAGAAAGATAATCGTCTTAATTTCTTATACGAACTCAAATCAGAAATGCAAGCTTTCTTCTCAAATTAAGGGTTTAAGTTAAGGGTTAATTTTTTTACATCTAAAGGTAAGGGTATCCATTCCGTATTCTACACTTTCTCAGAAATACCAAAACTCTTTTAAGTGGCACTGAAATTTGAAATTTGAATCTATTTTTTTTTCATCGTGGTAGCTTGCCAGTGGCTGACTGGATAAGACTGATGAACTCCGGTAGCTTGTCTGAAGTTCTATCCCAGTGAAAGGTTTAAATTTTTCATACGTTAAAAGCATACCTTTTTGTTCTCAAAATGAGAAAGAGAGTTCAAGTTTTGGAAAAGATTGATCATTTTGACTCTGTCTCATCTGAATTTATTTTGTAAGTTAGATTGGATTCAGCAAAGTTCGTTTCTGTGGTGTTTTTGAAGATATAGTAAATTAGTATACAATTTCATATAATATAGCTGAGACAGTCAAATGGAGGACCACTGCAAGATTAACAAAAATTATTAATTGCTATTATTAGTTTCATTATCGATTTCCGTTCTTCGGGATTTGTTATCAAACATCAATTTTTAGAGATGTAGTTTAAAATATATATGCCATCCAAAACTGATTATTGTAAAATAATTCAGATTGTTAAACTATTATGGCAAAAGTTATCAAGGCTTCTACCTAAATTAAAAAGAGTGTGAAGAACTTTTTTTTTTCTTTAAGAGATACTGTGTCATTAAAGTCATATCGTTTGGCATATTTCCTCGGCTTCAGGTGTCGCCAGTTTTGCTTGGCTTCTTTGCTGGAGATAATTGTCTTTATAACTATGGCTTGAGCAAACACGTTGTTTATCTGATCTTTTCATTTCTTCCCCGTTCCAATGAAGTTTACCAGTTTGGAGTTTACCAAGGGATGAAAAGACACTATTTCATTCCTTCAAGTAAAAGGGCATTCTTCACAAACAATCATTTTCAAATTACCATATCATGAGATTAAAATGTGAGTCTAAACCTGAAATGGCTAAGCAAGCTTCGTTCATTCCAAGAAAAAAATATTGGCCCAAACAAAACGTTTGCTGGATCCCGTATTCCTTTCAAACTTGTCGTGTCATTCATATATTTATTGCGTTAAGGATCAACGTGAGTTGAGTTTTATGAACTGCAACTTCAAAAAGAATCACAGTGCAAAGGTTTATTGGAATAATTACATGTGATATATATGTGTCAATTCTTTGTTATGTCGTTCTAATGTTAAAATTGGTGGATACAACAAAGTTATGGAAATTGTCAAAAGGTTATTCATAAGAAGGAAAAATAACGTACACCATGCTCTTTTCCCACTAAGGGTTTTAGGGAAATTGTGCGGTTTCTTTGTTGGTGTTCTCAGTTGCTCCGTGCAAATTTTAATGGCCGCAACAGAGGACAATGCCGGAGGATGAAACTAACCTATTTTATGACTGCTAAGAGTGGATATAAATCTTCCAATTTGAAAGCCGTCGGATGCGAATATTTCAGAGTAAATCAAGTACTAACGGAAATTTAATAAAAAAGGGAGGAAACTAAAAGATTTTTTTTTGGGGGGGGAGGGACACGTTTAGTATCGAGACATGGGCGTGAGGGAAAAAATAAGCAGATGCGCCTAGATGACACCGAAAATGATGTGATATAGCTTTAACGAATACACACACACACACACACATATATATAAACGCTATATCGTATTCACACTGTACTTGCGAATGAATACCCCATACAGATATCCCGTTCTCCTGTCTGTCGGAAACAGAGACCAGACTAGCGGTATTCAGCAGTTTTATCTGTTTGAGCAGTGGTATGCATATAACATTCTGTAAATATGATGTCTTAAATTTTTTTAACAATAACCATTTCTGCAGATAACTGCATCAAGAAATATTGGCATAATATGTAACAGCAGACAAAATTCGGTGTCATGGAGGTCCAAATAAGAAGGCGACATTATCACTGTCATCGAATTTTTCTGTTTAACTAATTATTAAAAACATGCCAGAGCTATTTGTCTAAGCAAAAGGATGTCTTCCTGAAGGACTTCAAAATTTGCTAAGCCAAATCGTAAAATCTTGACTTTATGGCAGATTGGAAAGTGGACGAGAGTTTGCCATACGGTAAGATGATTGAGCAGCTACTGAATCAAAATAGAGACATTTCAGCAATCGGTTGGTAATGTGTTAAAATAAACGATAAGAAGTGCCTGTTATATCAGTATGTGAAGAAAGAAGCACTTTATAAGCAAGAAATGAATTCTTTATTTAAAATCAATAGCATAGTACTATTTGTCCAAAAACTAATTACAAAGCTGTAAAGGAACAACTTTTTTGGATGGAATGGGATTTCCAGATGTGTAGCAAAATTTCTTTGTTTCTGCTGCTTTCTTTCTGAAAAGAAATATTAAAATGAGTATTTTAAACTGAATATTGATAGAGCATCTGTGTTTTGCATTAGAATTATAACACAGGATAGATACGAGAAAATACACTGCTGACCATTAAAATTGCTACACCGGGAAGGAGTGATCTGATGAACGTCAAAATCATACAAAATGAAGAAGAAGTTGGTATATGCAAATGATTAGTATCTCAGCGCATTTAGACGACGCAAGAGGGAGAAGCGACATTTGAAGAACTGCATAAAAGAAAAGTTGTGTAGTGAATTTCGCATTCGGAAAGTGCTTTGTAAGTTTGGAGTTTGCTCAGAATATCGTGTTATGCCTGGAATAAGAAGAGGAAATGCTTACCAGCAAGCTTCAAAATTCGATAGAGGCAGGCTCGTTGCCTATCGAGAGTGCAGATTATCGTTCCGTGATATCGCCGGTCGCACTGATCGACATCCAACCACTGTCATGCGAATACGGAATCAATAGATTGCTGAGTGTCATACTGAACGGCATGCAGGATCTCAACGCCCTCTCATGATTAACGCCAGAGAGGACAGACATATTGTGAGGTCATCCCTACGAAACCGTACCACCACATCACGGACAATTAGTCAGGAAATGAACACATGTTTGCAGCACGCCTAGTATCAGCTCGTAAGGTGCGTCGATGTTTGCAGCAGCGTGAACTATCTGCAGGTTGACCATTACTTCGGCTTCCCTTGACAATGCAGCATAGAGAGAGACGGCGACTTTGATGTGCCAAACTACAAAGCTGGGTACAGAAGTGATACAATGTCGCCTTTTCAAACGAGTCCCGGCTCTATGTAGAGTATTCGTTCTGATAGCCATATACGTGTCTGGAGTGTCCGAGGAGACCGCACGTCGCCTGCTTGCATTCGATATCGGCATAAGGGCTCTGAGCACCTGGTGTGATGGTTTGGGCAGCCATTGGTACACGACACGCACATCTCTAGTTCGGATTGACAGTAATTTGAACGCAGATGGGTACATTTCTGACATCTTAAGTCCAGTGGTTGTGCCCCATCTTCAAGGCCCCCAAACACCATGTTGCAATAAGATAGTGCAAGACCACATATTCTACGTCATATTCTGACCTTCCTCGATACACAGCGTGTTCGATTGCTGCCATGGCCTGCACTGTCTCTAGATCTGTCACCCATTGAAAACGTCTGGTCATGGGTTGCTGAGAGACAGGCAAGCCCCCTCTCCAGCTCGTAATACGGTTGATGAAGTGTGGCATAGGCATGAAGAAGTATGGAATGAGTTGCCCATTCTTGTTATTCAAACCCAGTTTGACTCCATGCCTAATGGGGTAAGGGCCGTTTTAGCTGCCAGGTGTGGAAGCTGTTTCTACTAGTTTTGCAGCCCTGTGGGCCTTCAAAATGCTTACAAATTTAATAATTTTGTCTTCCTGCCATACCATTTACGTGCAATAGTTATCTTTTTTGTATTTGCTTTCTTTCATGGTGTGCAAATTTAATGGCCAGCTGTGTAAATTAAATACAATATCTAATTCCTTAGTGTATGTTCTATGTTTTCGAGCGATTAAAAGACATTCATCTGGGAACGAAATAAAACGGGATACCTCTTTATCCGAAGCTTCTTAACTACTGTGACATTCATAATTTCATTTTTAATTTCTACACATGATTCATTTTAATTCTAGCCTTCCTTAACGTTAATTTGTGCATGCATTCTGTCACTGTTTTATCATTTCATCTAAAGTCTAGCCTTTCTTAAATTTGTGCATACATTTCGTGAGTTCTATAGAAAGTACGGTGAACTGTAGCGTACTCTTTTGCATATGTTTAAAGCTTCATCAAACACTGTACGATCGTGTCAATTTTTTATCAACAAAATACCCATAAAAAAGCTTCAGGACGTTGCCTCTAAGAATAAAAGAGCTTTCCTTAAAGTTTCAGCACAACTAATTTTAACACTATCCGTTTACGTTTCGTCATCAGTCTTATAGCTAGAGTTTTTATTGTTCTTCGGATCTAAGGCACGAATGATTTCTTCGTCACTCAAAACTTGAAAACTTGGTCAACTGGTTTTTACATTATCCATTCTGAGACGTGGTCTTGAGAGGTGTCATGCCATTTTTTTATCCTTTGAAACATGCCTACGAATTCAGTATAAGCCGGCGTTTGTTGATACTGTTGCTTTCGTTTTTAATACGTGTATACCACATCTTTTTTTCATGATGCACAAAACCATCAAAAGCCTCATTGCTGACAAGAAAGGGCAAATATTAATCATCAATGAGTAAGAAAAATTGCTAATGTTACGGATTGTTATAGCACTCTTTCTAGTGTTAGTAGATTTTCCCAATGCCATTTTTAGATTGATTGCTGGCTCGGTCAATAGAGACCGCGGTTGACAGAAGCCCCGATATTTAAGGTTCTACTGTACTTCAAAAATCTCCTGCACTCAGCATGTTAATTTTTACTTAGTTACTAATTTTCTGTCTACAGTAGTAGCATAAAAAGCAAGATTTTTAAATTTAAAATTTTCGCTTTCCGAAATTGAAATTTTTGTAGTTGTATGTTAATTATGCTTCCAATTACAGAGGTTTTCAAAATAACAAGCATAATTTTATGAAACCAGTCGTATCATTGTGACTAGGAAGGATTCAATAAAAGAAGTCTAAACTTTTATGAGGTCTCCGTACAATAGGAATTATAATTATGAAGTCAACAGCAAAAGTTTTGTTGCTTAGGACTTAAAATTGGAGGGAATATCTGAGAACGAATTTACTGACTTAACCTCGATCAATTTAAACTAAAGAGTTTGAAGTAAATATGTCATGCACATACTCTGTAAGGGGATGCTACCGACCAAGCTTAGCGGAAGAACAGTTAAGCCAACGACTTCTAGCTGAAAGGAAAGAGGAGAAAATCTGGCAACGAGAAGAAGCGTGCTTGATGCGAGAAGAACGGCCTGCTCGTGTGAAAAACAGTTTATTTGAAAGAAGAGGAAAAATCTGGCAACGGGAAGAAAACGTGCTTGATGCGAGAGGACAGCATGCTCGTGAGAAAAAATTTGAAAATTAGTTTGGCTGTATTCCGAGAGTGAAGTCAGTTTCTTTCTTTTTTTGTTAAGAACTGAGAGATGCAATGTATTACTTATGCGTTTGATGTAAATGTGAATAAAAGCAATACTTTGTGAAATGTTAATGTGTATTTACAAAATTAAAAATATAGCTCATGTTATTTTTAAACCTGCATAAGTGTCCCAGTTTATTTCCTGCAAATAGAGTTGACTAATAACATTTATAAGTGGATAGAAACGAACCGACAAAGATGAATTGATCAAAGTATCGATTTATGACAGTGAATCAAGGATTCGATTATATGACAAAATACAAAACTAAAGTTGCTTGCTTTGGCAAGTGTATTTATTAAGCGTATCTCCGTGAGTTTTGTGCATAAAGATATGGAACGTTTTAAGTAGTTAAAATATAATAAATGCTTTACTAAATGGAGATTTTAATTTACGATGGCTATGTAATAAGTTAGATTTTATAGATGAATTAAAAAACAACCGTAGTTCTCAGAAAATTCTAATAGTGTTGAGAATGTTTTTGTAAGATTCTGCATCTTATTTTAAGAAACTAAGTTATCTGAAGACTGAACCATTCACCCACTTGGCATACATCTTATCTTTTCGCAAACAGAAGAGCGGCCGATCCACTGCGCGTTAGAATATCGGCTGGAAAGCCCGACTGTTATAATTATCTGTAACACAATGCCTAAGATGCACATACACAGAATAGATTTTTTGCCGACATATGTACTCCAACTGTCAAAAATAGAGTAAACGACTAAATAAGGTTGTTACTAATTTCTAATAATTAATTAATGGTCGAAAGATTGATTACAACAGCAACTGCAACGGAAATAAATATTTTGTTTTAATGGTCGGGCGTTTTATTTAATAACCATTAGGCTTGCGCCACTAAAGGGCTCGAAGTGGCGGCTATTTCATTATGGAAGCACCCAATAGGTGGCCACCGTTGCTTCCTCGTCTTCTATTATATATTGCCATATAATTGCTATCACAAACTCCTGCTAAAATGATACTCGGCGTTACCTTCGAATTTACTTCCCACCTCCTTACAAAATATTTTTCCTACTCACACATAAACTTTACTATACTGGGACTTTTACGCCTCGGTATTAATGTAATGCTATCAAGAAAAGATATGTTCGTCTCCAACGTGCTCTACTCAGGATGAGGGTCTCATAGCCTAGGTGCCTGCATCAGTGGAAATTAATACACCAGCAAAGGAACCCGGGCCCATCGCTACGGCAGTCAGGGTCACTAACGACTCTACCTACTGAGCGATAGAATGAATAAAATAAATAAATAGAAAAAAATAAGTAGATAAAACGAATGAATGTGTACATATAATTACGCAAAAATATAGTTGTGAGATTGTGCCATATTGATAATAGTTAAACTAGATGCAATTAAGGAAAAAGAAGAACTCGGTGAATAAGGCAGAGCAGTGATTACGTAATAAAACATGGCAGATAGCACACAAAGGAGGCACTATATTTACAAGATACAAACTACTGAAGTAGATGGAGATCTGCAACAAAATAAAAGCAGAAGGAGTAAATCTAGAAATGCTTATATGGAAACAAGCTTCGTAGCTCTCTAGAACGCCATGCAAAATTTTAATACATGTCATGGTTCGCCAATAAATATTAATTACGTCAAGGTTAAGGTTGTAGAGCGTAGTCCTTACTTGGGGATTAGTTGGCTTAATAATACCAATTTTTAATTTTAATAATGTAGAAGCATTTGTTAATTATTTGTCATATAATATGTAAATTTGCTATTAAATAAGTTCAGTAAAAAAAGCAATATATTTTCTCTTAAAAGCAGCTTGCATTCTGGAAATTCTTACCTTTCGTAGGCAACATTCATTGGTACGAGCTTCACGTAATCTAAGTGTATTGTGTGAGTCAGAAATAAACTGAACCACTCTGAACTCCTCCACGTAAAAGATACACCCTTCACCTTTCCTATTGGTGAATCTGTGTGCGCCAGGTATGGGTACGTCGCACCATGGGTGAGAGTTCCGTATCTGACAAGGAATTTTGTTAGTTACTTATCTTACACCTAAGATTTAAATTTTCACATTTGAAAGTGAGAAGTAATGTGGATATCTTTTATTTTGAAATCAGATTTTTTTCTAAACTTACTTCTTTAAAGTAACTTCAAAATCCTTTTCTTCACCAAAGATTGTTATAGTGATTTTACCATTCCTGTCTTTATACTCCTTTTCGGGTTTTTGCAGTTTCACTGTTATTTGAAAGCTGTTCACTGAAAAGGGGGAAAATACGTTTTAGATTTTATGTTATATGGAAATTTCTAATAACAATGCTTATGCTAATAGGAAAACAAACGAAAGAAATTTGAAAATTAGCTATAATGAAAAAATAAAGAGATAAAACACGATTGTGTAGCGATACACTATGGCAGTATTTCTTCATCAGTAATCGTAACATTACTAACAGAGCTTGATTACTACTTAAGCAAATGAGATCCACGCGAAACATTGGATTCAAAGAGGTTCCAATATCATTCTGTAATTTTCTCCTAATCTTTTTATCTCATATAAAGAAGGAAAATTAATAGTGGGGGCCTCTGAGAGAACGCGCCGCCTAGGACGTTAGTACATTATCTATTGGTCCCTCATCCAGGATTTACTAATTCACATGTGCAGAAATAATACGTACTACATCTTGAAATAAAAAATGCTTTTTCTTTTTAATGTTATTAAAATGTCCTTTTAAAGATTTTTATGTCGCCATTAAAAAAAAAAAAAAAAAGAAAGGAAAGTTTAACCTCCTGAAGTATACTGAGACGTATGCGAATATTTCTATTTGATAATAGAGGACTGTAATATTGGTGGAGATAAATCACGAAAATTCAGTTTCTTTATCAGTAAATCAACATTTTGCTTATCAGAAATCTGATAAATAACATATATTAGTGCGTTGCAGATATGCTTTCTCACTTCCGCGTAGAAATATTCTTGAATTTTCGAAAACACCTAAAAAATTGCAATGCAATAAATACACACACACACACACACACACACAACAAAAAAAAAAAAAAAAAAAAAAAAAAAAAAAAAAGCAAGACCTAATCAAAAACATATTCCATAAACTTGATAATACTGCATTTGAGTTAATATTAGATGAGTGGGCGTCTATTAAAAATCGTCGATATGTGAACATTGATGTTCTTGGAAGTGAAAACAAATTTTGGAACCTTCGATTATATTGCATTCATTGATATTTATCAATTGTTAATGATATTTCTCTATTGAAAAATCTATACCTCTTATCGAAATTACAGGGAAATAATTTGGAATTTTTTGCAAATATTGCTCCAATAACTAGAGATGGAGCAATAAACAATGAATTATTGAAGTAAATTATAACGAAAAACAATAATTTAATTAACGTAAACCATTAATTGTATCTTGCACATGGAAGATAGTTGACTGTTTTACTACAGAAATAGTTTAGATGAAATCGAAGGCAAAATCAGAAAACTGTTAGATTATTGGATTCTGCTAGTTTTCCTAACTTGATGAAAACGTAGAAGATTTTAAATAATAATGATGATGTTTTTGACATGTAATGCAGCATAGTTACTGAATCGTTACGAAATATATAACAGAATTCTCTGAAGACAAAAATAAGAGAAGTAATCAAATATTCCTCAAGTCATCAATATAAATTTATGAACATGATGATATACTAGAACATAGCGATATACTAAAAAAACATGTGATATATTAGAAAAGATGTAAAAGAAGAAATTGTTAAAGAACTTTTGTAGCTGCTAGATTGTGACTCGCTATAATAGTTCATTAAGTATGTGAGAAAGTTGCTGCAAAACTAAAATTTGTGTCCTAAAAATTAAAAATCTAATTTAAATTTTACAGACAATGAACTTACATTGTTGTCTAATATTTGAAAAACTGCCAATTTATGTATCCGTGGGATAATTTCAGGTATTGAACTGTAATAATCTAAATCAGGGGTCGCCAAACTTTTTTGATCATCGCCCCCTATATAATTTTTCGAAATCTCCATAGACCCCCACAAAGATAATTTTCAGGTAATTAAAATAAAACTACATATTAGTCAATGAGATGAGTGTGCCGGGTGTTTCTTGGCAAGGTTCGCTATATTGGGTTCGAAATTAGTCAATTTTAACCGTAAATCCCCTCGAAGCTCCACATTTAATTTATTTCTGTTTTTAGTTAAAATTGAATTAACGTGACTGAAACCGGCTTCAACCATATACGACCATGGAAACGCCAGCATAAATGGCTGAGCCATTTCGTAAAGTTTCACATATTTTTGCTTTATATTTATATTAGTCCAAAATTTATGTATTGTCAAATTTTTAATAAGCGTTTTTGCTTCAAGATCGGACAATAGTTCAGCAAGCTCATCTTGTATGTTGATGTCGACGTTATCAATTTGCGCCGAAAATGGCGCAATAATCAAATCAGGGATGTCGATGTTTTCCAAATCAACAAAGCGCAGTTTAAAATCGTCGCTTAATTTTTGAAGATGATTTGTATATATTTCCAAGTCTTCTTCTTTTATTTTTAGAAATATACTTATAATCCTTACGTAGCAATGAAGATCTAAATAAATTTAATTTTACTTGGAAGCCTAACAGTATTGTCCGAGCTTGGATAATTGTTACATCTTTTCCTTGCCAGTTTTGTTTGAACGTCATTAAATTTTCCAAATAAGTCTGCTAAATAAAAAATATGGTTCTTATTGTTTTGGAGTTCATTGCTCAGAACAGGATTTATTTCGTTCAGAAATTCTGTCGTGGAGTCAAATAAATTGACGAGCCGTTGCAAGCATACACCTCTAGACAACCATCTAACCTCGGTGTGCAGAAGTAATTGGTTAAATAACTCATTGTTTTCTTCACATAAGTCCTCACATAGTCAATTATAAAAAATATTTTAAATTTTTACCTACGCAGTTAGATATGTGTGATTGGCGTATTAAGAACTGTTTTTCCTTCGAGTCCCAATAGAGCCCCATTCGACCCCTTGGGTCAGATAGACCCCTACTGTTGTTAAATAGACCCCTAGGGGTCTATATAGACCACTTTAGCGACCCCTGATCTAAATGATATTGACATGTAGATGCATTACACGCAGTTATAGTTAATCGACATGTAGATGCATCGCAGAAAATTACAATTAGTAGAAGTAATTACAATCATGGCCGATTTAGCATTTCTTTATTACTGAAAAGCACATTCTTAACTTGAACTGCACATCGCAATGGGTGCAATCTGCGCGCCCGTTTTTGAACACATTTGTGCCTTTTCTTCATCTTCATAGCAATTAATTTCGATGGAATAAGGAAAGTACAGCAGCAGAAAGCAAACAGGTTAGCAAGATGAAAATGATAGAAAGAAAGCGATGTGTCCAAGTTTGGTGCAGAATGATTAGTTCTCAAAAGAAGAAAAAGTTTTTGTACCTATTACCCTCAAATCTATCTCAGTCATTCATGCTGATGTAGGAACAACTTTTAGTTATTCTGAAAGATTTTGCTCCTTTGTTGGTTTATTCCCTTATTAACACTCACTTATCTTTAGTAAATCATGAAGTCAAAATTAAATAATAAGAGATTGGTTAATTAATTTTAACACAGCAAGAGAGGTCTTTCTGCCTAAAAAATGACTTTCTAAGGGAAATCGTTGACATGCTATTTATGCTATGCAAAAGGAAAACTAAGAAAATCCCAGGCAGGCAGTATTGATTTTGAGATTCACTTGAAAACAGATTAGGATATTAGATTTTGAGAATTCACTTAAAAACAGTTTAGAATATTAGATTTTGAGAATTCACTTAGAAATCAGCGAGCTTGAAGACTATCATCGGACGACCGGTTAAAACCGACGGACACCGGTAGTTTGACTGGCAAAGGGCCAGCTTCTATGGGCGTTTTCCGCCGGGCTTCACCCTTATGTAATGTGATTGTATTTAATGTACTTTGCCACAATATAATAAAAAATTACGAGCCTTGAAGATAAGCAGATATTTAGAGCAATCTGGTAATTGGTTTGGATTATTTAGGTTCTGGAAAAATCACTCAATGGTTATTTGCTTATTGAGAGGCATGCCTTTGTAGAGGAATTTTTAAGGAGACTTGGTTGCTATTCAAAACTGGTTAACATACTACCTAATATTGAACTCTGTAGTTAAATTTCTTAATAAAAAATAACACTTTGTTTCTTTTTCCAGATTAAATGGCGTTTGACTGATATAGTTAGATAAGAAAGATTAATATTCTAGAGTAATAAAAATAAAGTTTTTGACACAAAATAAATTATGAGAAACTTACGAAAAAAGGGTGCAGAACCAGAAGTAGCCAAATACATTTTGATGGACTGTGAGTCATTTTTTCTTTGCCTGTATTCATCAGCTCGAAAACCCAAAACTGCACATTTTATGCCATCTGGACCACATTCTGAACATAGTCCACTTAGATAATCATCCCAGCTTCTGCACTGATACGCTACTGGAAGAATCTTTTTGTAGTTAATTGAGTATGTGAAAAAATCAACAGCCCTTTGGTGATTGCAAGATACGAAGCGACGAGCAGCTGCGTGTAAAACATAGAAAGTTAGACCACAATGAAAAAGTTAGCATTTTACATATCCATTCTAAGAAAGAAAACGTCTTTTGCCGATTATTTTTATTTACTACCGTACAAATGCAGGTGCTTGTTCACACCGAAGTTTCGCGCAGAACTTTTATTTGGAAAGTAACTCGCAGTAATTCCCTTTTAAAAGGTACGGAATGTTTATCATCAGAAGAATCCTTTTTACTTCGGATTTTCCTCTGTACTTGGGACGGAATGTATAAAGGAATCTAATTGTGTGCTAAATACATAAAGGAATATAATCTTTGCATAAAATAAAACTAATTACGTGCTCTTATGTTCTAAACTCTACTATGGCCCTGCCACAGTGCTGGGCCCGGGTCCGAATCCCAAAGAAGATCGAAACTGTAGTTGTTTCGATCTCGTTCATGTGGGTGTAATATCGGTCGCCTCCTATGATATATCATAAGCAGAGCTGGATGGCTAAATGACCGCTGTTTTTGGCTGTTCCTCAAAAGTACTTAAAGAGCAAAATTATTTAAATTAATATATATTGAAATAATAACTGATTTATTTCATTTATTAGTTGAGTAGAACTTATATTTAAACAATTCGTTTTATCAGAAATGAAATAGATTACTATGCATTTCTGGCACTCCTAAATTCTTCAAAACATCTTACTGTGGAGACGCATAAAAAGTTCAAAAAGCTTAAAATTAAACCTAGTTAGTAATTAAGTACTGACGTTCTAAAGATTAGCGTTGTTATGTGCAATACAAATGTGCAGCAGTGGAATTAAGTGTTCGAAACCGACAACAACCTTAAAAAAATGTTCTGATAGTAACAGAATTCGATGGGGATAACCGTTTTAGATTTTAGACTGCTGTTATGAGAATGAAATTTCAGAGTTCAATGTCGACATTTTTAATTTAATGAAAAGATTTCGAAAAAACATATTTTCAATCTGTAAATAAATACTGATAATTTTAGTTAATGTTTTAAATACTTCTCTTTTGATATTATGTTACTATAAACCGGAAAATATAACAAAAGTGTTTTCAAAGACCTTGGTTTTAATTTAAACTAAATAATGCCTGTAAATATTAACATTCATGAATATTTCAGTGAAAACTGTTCCTGTGGACCGAGCAATCGTTCCTTAGCGGGTAAGACGTCAGATTCGGAAACCGAAGGTCACGAGTTCGAAATGCATCAAAGTTACTAAAAATTGGTTTTTGTTTAAATTTCCATCCTTTTAATTTATCCTTTAGCTTCCATACATTGCAGAAATTTTCTATTTTCCAGAAAGTTCCAATTCTAGAATGTTCCACCTCGTTCATCAAGTGTATATGAGTGGTTACTTATCCAGTTCGAATAATGAAGTCTTCTACTCTCCTCTTCATTTACACGATCATTTCGTCTACGTGACAGGTTCGTGAACGCGCCTAGTAAATCAATGACTACGGAAGAGCTACGCCAAAGCCTAAGGTACTGGAGGACATCATCTTGAGTTTGATCTTTTACAGAATTCGAGTAGAAGATTAAGGAAGATGGTTGATGGGAAGGAAGCTGAGAAGAAGTCCACAGCAGGAGCTAGCTCCGCTCCGAGTAACACCGCACAAGTTCAGATCCTGATTTACCAGCAATCCAGGACAATAAAAAAAAATACCAACAGGTGCCTCAAGGACTTTGACCGAATCACCATCCATAACCACTGGGATGATCAAATGTGTCTGGCGAACGTCACTTTCTACCTTGCTGAAACAGTGCGATATTGGTTAGATAAAAATGAAGACACATTTACTAGTTGGGCATTTTCAGAAATGCTCTCAAAACACATTTTGTTGTACAGCTGAGGTGAACCGCTAAGCTGAAAGACTGCTATTCACACGTGTGCAGCACATCAATGTCCCTTTCCTCGCAGACAAAGCTGCTAGGAAAAGGCATCTAAATTTACGGAAAGGAGCAGAAAATGGATAAACAATTAAATTCCATAATTATAACTCTCATGAGAAGTGACGCATACGAATATTATCAAATAAGAAGTGGTGTTATATACAAAAGAATCGATGCTCTTATGGACATCAGTGGCTCTTGACAGTACCAGGACAACTTCGCAGCGATGTTATAAGAAGTTTTCAATGTACTCCTACCGCCGGTGGTCTGGGATATGCCAAAACGTACAACCAAATAAAAAGAAAATACTATTGACCAGGAATATATGGGATCACACAATGTTATGTATTATACTGTCGAGAATGCCAAAGACTGAAATCACCACTGCAAATTCCCCCATAACAGCTTCATCCAATAAAACCCACTGAAATACTGTTTATCAAAATTGGAGTAGATCTACTTAGACTCTTTCCTGTTATCCAAAATGGGAATCTGTGAATTATTGTTTGCACAGATTACCTTGCCAGATTTACAGTCACAAAGACAGTATCAACTGTTGAGGGCATCGAAATTGCCATATTTACAATTGAAGAAATTGTACTGACATACTGTGCCCCAAAGAAACGATAAGTGATTAAGGACGCAATTTTTTATCCAATGCTGTTAAAGAAATCAATAAGTTATGTCAGACTGCCTACCATCCACAGAGCAAGTGTTCAACAGAAAAATTCAAGACACTGGCAGACATGTTGTCCATGTATGTAGATGTTGGACAGAGAAATTGGGATACCATCCTACCATTTGTGACTTTAGCCTTTATTCATCAAAACAAGACACAACGGGATTCAGCCCATTCTTTCTCGTTTGATAGAAATATCCAGACTCCTCTCGACCTTAATTTCCCATCGAGCAATGAAGATCCTGATGATAGTTATGTGCAACATCTGATCACCAGAGCTGAAGAAATTAGATAGCTTTCATAACTCCTCATCTCTAGAGAGCAAGTCGCAGACAAGAGCCTATACGACGAGAGGTATCGACCTGTCAGCTAGGAGACGATGGAGTTCAAAAGACATCATTTACATATTGAGATTGGAAACCTATTTTGATCCAAAAAAAAAAAAAAAAAAAAAAAACTAGACGGATGGAAAATACCTAGCATTTCCAAGAACCTTGTTACAAGAAACCAGACCAGATCGTAGCGAGACGCTGCTTCTTCCGAAGAAGTAAGAAATGTAGCGAAAATTGTTCCTTTCGACCGAGCACATCTTCACTCAGTAGGAATAACGTCAGATTCGGAAGCCGGCGGTTATGAGTGCGAAACCCATCATGCAAGTTACCTGAAAATTGGTTTTTGTTTAAATGTTCTTCCTGTTAATTATTTTCCTTGATGTTCCATTTGTTGTAGAATTTTCTTCATTTTATAGAATGTTCCAGCTGTTCATCAAGTGCATGGAAGTGGTTACTTGTTCAGTTCGAATAATAAAGTCTTGAGTTGAGAGTTGATAATTTCCACTTCATCTGTTGATCACTTCATCTACGCAAAAATATTCGTAGATATTATTCATATCGAATGGTATCGATTGATGAAATATTTATATCGATGTTTTGTATTATGAAAATCTAAATTTTTTTATTTTTTGCTAATTTGGATTTATTTATATTAAATATATATGTTTGATGTCTTCGTTGTAAACTGAGCAGACTGCATATGCGTTTCATGCAAATAAAATAACATCAGTACTTCCGGTCGAAATTTACGGAAAAATAGTAAGCCCGTCTCAGTTTCGAAACCAGACAATACTGAAGGTCATCCAAGACATATTTTTCTTATCTCAATAGTTGCATGTCTTACTTTTTCCGCATTTTTTAAAATGCAAAGCATAACAAATGTCGAGTCACAGTGGCTTAAATTTTAGAGCAGTGAGTGATACATGTGATTTGTCTCATGACTGTTTTTATACCTATTTTGTCATGCAGTTATTCGGATTTGTTATCAAATATGACTCAAACGTAATATGTAAGCCGCGGATCTCTTACGTTACAGAAAAACAGTTTTCTACAGAAAGAGATACATGCCGACCGTGTCTATTAGCCGTCAGTATTAAACGTTTTATGCTTATCTATTATCACAATGTTTTTATTTGTAATAAATAATTTTAAATGTTCATTCTACTTTGCTTTTCGTTTCGTTGAAATAACTAACCTAAGACATACAATTTTTATGTTCAGAAAATTTTTATTCTTGTTGAAATGAGCTGATGATAAGGATATGTTTTCTCGTTAGAGGTATTATTACGTTGGTACATATATCTTACTGCAGAAAATTTTTATTCTATAAGGACTAAAATTCAAACTTTTTATTTACAGGACTTATTTTGAAAAACCTAAACAGTATTATGAGAGGTAAGAACACAATTAATTTAATGGCAGCTGATAGTTAACATTAACGCATATATCATTCTACAGAAAATTGATGCATGTCGTTCTATAACAGAAAAAATATAAAATGATCTCGTTAAGATCCAGTCAATAGTACACAATAGCGATTTATTTCAGATTAGACAGATACCAGTCTAATCTGAAATAAATGGCTATTGTGTACTATTGCAAAATATTCTCTAGTAGCGGAAAAAAAAGAAGCTGAAAAAGGCAAACAAAAATGTTCGATTCAATAGAACACTTACCATCAAAGAGACCTTCCATAAATATTGAATGAATCACAGAAGTCGCGCAACCAGGTTGACTCATTCCGTTGTTTGGATAAAAGTCTACATGACCGATTGCTTGTGACATCCCCAGGGCTAGAGAAAGAAAGCAAAACATGATATTGAAGGTATAAAACACTTACGTCAAAAAAACTCTCTCTAATTTAATTGATGTAGGTGTTTCTTGGAATTTCATCTAAAAAAACAACTATGAGTGGTATATATATATATATATTTAATGCCGTATGATCATAATGTAACTTTCTGAAAAATGGAAAAAAGTGTGTAACACTCAGAGATTTTTACATTCTCTTCCTTGCAAATTATAGACTAGCATAATCTTGAAGTACGATCTTCCTATTCAGACACAAAAGTTTAAAAAATGCATTCAAGGAGATCTCAGTGATTTTTAATAGAAAATATGGTTTCTAATTTTGGGTGAAAGTGGGTAAGTTTCGAAACTAAAATACGTAAAAAGGCGCAAAGAACTGTAGCCAGCTGTGTTCCAAGGCATAAAAAGGCTAATTATGCCTCCAGATAAAGAAATGATAAAACTGATTAGTGACATAATTATCACTGGATTTTCTCCCCGGCTGTCTATTTTATAGCTTCGAGAAAAGTTGGTCGAACAACTTATTGCCGCTTTTCTCTGCAACTACATTCTGAGAAACAAAATTAAAAAAGATAGCTCTTACGATACATCTATAATATTGCACATTGTGTAATACTAATAAATTTTATACACTAGAACAGGGGTGGGCAACCCGCGGCACGCATGCCTCGGTGTGGCATGGCGGAGTTTTAACAGTGGCACACGAAGAACTTATTGAATAATAATAATAATATAATATGTATCAACTCCGTCGATAGATACAGACATAAACACGTAAGGATAAATATAATAATAATTAAGTTTCTCTGCAAGATGTTAATTGTTACCCAACTGAAATCCAAATCGAAATTATTGACCTACATGACAGCATATTATATTGAAAAGCAAATATAAGGATCTTATTTCAACTGCGAATGATCCAAATTATATTGAATTACGGAAATTTGTACCAACAAGCAGTTTTCCTAATTTACACGATTTGGCTGTCAGATACTGTTGTAGGTTTGGATCAACATATGTTGTGTGAACAAATGCTTTCTTTCCATCATGAACGTAATAACATCAAAATATCGTTCAAGATTAACTCATATGCACCTAAAACACCTAATTTTGCTAACATCTTTGAGAACTAATCCTAGTACAGATGACTTGGAAAAAATACATATTCAGAAACCACATTAAGTACTGACTATTTAATAGTTATTTTGAATTAAATGTTTCAAATTATTCATTTTTATTTCACATATAACCTAACTGACTGGAGCTTTAATACTTATTAAAAATAAAATCCTATTGTAATCCTGTAAGTTTGTTTTATTTATTATACTATTTTTAAATGTACACTGCACAGACTTGCATAAAAAGTGTGCTATTTGCGTAAAAAATCCCATAATAAGCCTAAAAGTAAATTTTTTTCAACTTTTTTATATTTTTTAATTTGTTGGAAGAGTTGGAAATGGCACGCATAACAGTTTTTTCAGATAATGGCAGTCTTCTGAAAAAGGTTGGCAACCCCTGCACTAGAAACTCCATCTATCATTCTTCCAACGTTTGTTTTTCCATTTATATCTTTCACCGTATCTGCTTTCAAAACGAAGCTCTCTATATGAGTAACGTTATTTAGAACTTTACTTGTATAGAATTATAAAACATCCATGATTCACCGAATAGTCGTTTACTCTCATGAATCATACGCAAGCTCCCGGAGCAACATTTCTTGCATGGATTGTTTTTTCATGGGGAAGACTACATAAAAGTACGTATGAATTACTGGCTTTTTCTTCTTTTTAATCTATAAATCCAGCACCTCAGAAATACAGTTCTGATTAAGCTGATCCCTGCGATGCATCTACGCAGAGAGGTAAAACGTTTTTTAGGCATGTAAAATGGGAATGACAAGACAATGAAAATATTTTAAGTCTTGAAAAGTCGTATTTCCTATTGAAAAAAAAAATTAAAATAAACACAGCTAAGAAGCAACTGACAGTACAAATTCTTGTTAAGAGACAGGTTTTGAATGTAGCGTATTGTTTTAAAGTAATAAATTATATTTATTAGCAATATATTACAAAATGTCACTTATTTACAACATTTCCCGGTTTAATCATTTTCCCACATTCTAAGTTCATTTTTTCTTCTGTTCCTTGCAAAATGTCAGACTAAGGTTCAACTGCACGTTTAACAGATTTTCACAAGATTAAATATTCTTTTTATACTTCTTACTTATTAACATGCTTTATCATAATGTTTATTTAATAAAGTAAACATTATGATAAAACGCACTATGAATGGCAGTCAAAATACTTACTGGCTTACAGTTTGTTTCTCACTCCCAGTTTGCACACATATTTATTGTAAGTTTCATATTCATGCACTAATATATTACATATCTTACATATCTGTTATCTTAAGTCTTCAAAAGAAATAACATTTCAAACAGTGCGAAATTCGATGACCATTCTGAAGCGACAAATGCAACGTAGTATGACGATGATCGGAGTACCATCACTCTTATTACAAACTGTTACTTTAAAATAGTCGCAGCTAAGTCGTAGTTACTCTTTTCTCATTTGCGATAGTAATGTGTATCGTTATCACCGCTAAGAGGGGATTAGAAAATCTTAGCAAATTAAAGTATTCGACCGTTTTCCGCAGCAGTTGTTATCATGGTTATGAGGCACGATTTGAGAAAGAAAATATATACCTATAGTCTGTTATTTTAGAATAGACATTGAAGGGCCTATTCTAAAATAACAGACTAGACTATAGATATATATGACCTCGAATGACAGCATTCTAAGCACATTAAAAATCAAAACTCTTCCGTGCTCTGTTTATTTTTACGATTGTTATGGTATTTTTAAGAAGACACCACAACGAATTGATTTTTCCTAAAAATCTGACCAAACTGTGGTATTGCGTTGTGTTAAAGTAAACCGAAATAACCTCGTGTTGATAACTGGTGATGATCATGAGTAATAATTAAACCATACAACTGTTATCCAAAGAAACGCATGACATTTATTTATCAATTCGAGTTCATCCAAAACATTTGAAATATTTAAAATATTCTATAATAAAACATTTCATCCCGGGAGAAATTAAAAGAAAATGTATATATGAAACAATTAATTGCAAATTATAGCCGTATTTAGTTTAATATTATCTTCGAACTCACTATTACGCTACTTAATCAAATTTACTTCATTGAGGGTATTTATAAAAGGTTTTGCAGAACAAAATATTTATCCAACGTATTGCACATTTAAAAATAAAAACAAATACACAACATTAACAAAATCTTTAGAAGGATCATCCACACTCAACTTATAACCTACAAGCAGTCGTTAGTTAATTTGCAACTATTGCACTAATTTATTTCTTCCAGTGAATTTTTAACTTCGTAGCATGTACGGAATATAAATTCTCAGTCTCGGAGCATTAACTAGTTTTAAGAATATTAACAAGGTTTTATTTTCCTTTAGTTAACTTAAAATTTCATTAACGTCATTTCATTGCAAAGAAAATCACCAGAGGTACCGAGTAGAACAACTATACTCTTAAACTTATCAAATTAACTAAGCAACGTGGCAAAATGTCCAATGTGGAGACGAACCCTTTGTGAAGACAACAGGTGAATTTAGTAGAAAGAAGCAAAAATAATTTCTGGAGATGTTTCCTTTTTTTTATTTTTTATTTTTTGTTTTCGACGAATCTAATATTGTACAGTCTCTTCCTCCGTAAACGATTAGCTACAAACTTCCTTCAAACATGACTAAGCCGGAAAATCCTGTTCTCGGGCTTAAGCTAATGCCTCTTCTCGCCGAGCTGAGGTGACAAAATCCTAACGGAGAAAGGCAACCACCGTGAAAATGCGAAATGGAGCGAGCAAAATGGAGAGAACCAAGAGAACGGAATCTCCACCTGCAACTTCTTTCAATAAGGGTATTTCAATAATAAATATCGTTTCTGCGCATGTCGGCAACAACATGCTAAGGGCAGAAGTGGAAGCAAATCCATGTCAAACACTCTTAACCAACCTTGGCTGACCATCCAAGAACATTTAAAGCAGAATGGAAAAATAAGCAAAGCAGGTGTTTGAATCCCCCCATAATCTGTCCGAAGAGAAAAAAGGGAACAGATCCATCACATGCAAAGTATTGCTTCAACGGCACCATACAGAACCGTGTTTTGATCATTTGATTACTGGAGACAAAAAAATAAGTCCTTATATGATAATCCAAAACTGCAAAAAGGCAGTTTTAATAGGGGATACAAAGGGTTTACATCCCTAAAAGGCGTCTCTGGGTGTTTGATGGAGTATTCGAGGAATTGTTCATTTTGAATTGCTGAAACCTGGGAAAACTATTAATGTAGACCTTTATTGTGAACAATTGGATCTAGTGAACCAATCTTTAATCGAAAAATATCTGGCGATTGTGAACGGAAAAGGCGTCATTCTGCAATACGACAATGCAAGACCGCACTGTGCAAGACGAACACTGGAAAAATATAATGAATTGGGGTGGGAGGTACTGCCTCATCCACCATATTCGCCCGATATCGCACCCTCGGATTTCCATTTATTCCGATCCCTACAACATTTTCTTAGTGACAAAAAATTTGAAAATTTGGATGGTGTCCAAAATGTTATCTTGAGATATTTTACTCAAAAACCAATTGATTTATATCGGTTCGGGGATTAAAAGTCTGCACACTAGATGGCAAAAAGGTTGTTGATAGCGAGGGTGATTACATTATTGATTAAAAATAAAAATGTGTTAAAAATTTATTCGTGTGAATTTAATGTAAGAAAGCGACGTTAATTTCCGGTCCCCCTATTAGATATGACGAGACTACCACCTTGGCCAACAAGCGCTTTGTGAAAAAAACAGTTTTTTCAACCACCGCCTTACGCTCTGTAAAATTTCTCCTTTTCCCAAGGCATTAAACTATACACAAATTTAAGCATAGCCAAATCTAA